GATTGGTGATAAACTTCCACCCAACGAACTGCCCCTAGGCTTAGTCTGCCGTTCGTTAACTGATATCCCCCCTTGTGTCAGGGTAGCCGCTCATCCTTGCTCAAAGTTAATAAATATATTTGTGGGGTTGGGCCAGGTCAATTCAATCCCTGATCCAGCCGGTTACTGGGTCCACCACAAGAGGTGTCAGTTGCATTCGCCTCAGTAATTTGTCTGTTCGCACTGGCCTTTTTGCGGCGATTTGGCTATTAGCTATTGTCAACCTTTTATTGAAAAATGTCTCGCCTTGACCCGCTGATCGAGAATTATCGACCTGTCAGTGAGCTGCAGTTCATTGCTTATCTGGTTAAGCAAGCTGTTGTTATGAATTACATGCTCATTTAGAATTGTATATTTTGTATCCCAAGGCTCAGTCTGCGTATCATAAGCACCACAGTACTGAGACGGTTTTACCAAAGGTTAGAAATGATTTATTAAAAAGCCATGGATAGACAACACGTCTTTTTCCTGGTTTTGCTCGATTTGAGTGCCACATTTTATTGAATACTCTTCAGTCTAAATTTGGGACTCATGATGGAACTGCTCCTAAATGGTACCGTTACAGTACAGTTCTTATTTGTCTGATAGATCCCAACGAGTTCCCGTAAATGGAATGCTCTCGGAACAATTCAATATGGATTGTGGTGTTCTACAGAGCTCCTGCCAAGGACCGTAATTATTCATTCTGCACACTAGTCCTTTATTTGACATTATAAAGCCCACCTTTCAAATGTTCATTGTTATACTGATGTGCGCGCAGTTGTACGTTTCTTTTAGTCCCGAAAATTCTCCCAACTAATTAGAGGTCGTCAATAGTTGTCATGGAATAGGCCTAATGTATTAAAGATTTACGTAGTTGGATGGTAACTAGCCGTCTAATGTTGAATTGTTGTAAGACTAAATTTATGATTATTAGTACGGGTCATCAGCTCTCAAAAGTTAACGTTGATTATATCCATGTTGGTGATGGTAGGGGTGTTAATTACTACAGCACGCAGATGACACAACGATATTTATTCAAGTCTTCAAAACCATTAGTAGAGTTTTGGGTCAAGAATTAATATTCAGAAATCGTGGTTTATGGCTTTGGAAATGGAAAGACAGAAAACATATACCCTGGTGGTTTCTCTTGGACTAATTATAACATAAGAATTCTTGGTATATAGTTATGTAGGCAATGATGAGAATGCAAATCGAAATTGGGAACCTCGCATTGGAAAAACGGAATCTCACTTTAAAGCTATAGTAACAGTTATATTGGATCAGGTCTTGCTTATTTTGACTTGGTTAAACTGTCCTGAGTCGTACGTTCAAAAATGGAGAGTTTGAAACTGTCCTTCAGGGATAACGAATTACCATCAGCGGCCTCCCTGATAATGGAGGTACTGGTGTTGTAGATGTTGCATGTAAATTTAATGCCTTTAAATTCAATGTCTTGAGAAGGTATCAAGAAAGCCTAGGGAAATGGAAATACCTTAATTTCCGACTACTGTTTATCAAAGACCTGGGTCAAATAATTGAAAATAATAGAATCATGTCATTTTGCTGACTAGTTGACATTTGATGTTCACTCTCTTAGCGGAGACGCTTTTGGACATTGATCGAGGCATTCACTTTCTTCAAGGTTATTCAGGGATTATTTGGCAGTCCCATTTGAAGGTGGAATTTTACCAAAGGGTATTAACCTAGTTTCAAATAACGAAGGCCAGAGCTCCTCATCACACTGTGTGATGCCAAAAGTAAAGAGTGTGACTTTCCAACCTGCAACTCATAGCAGCATTTAATTCTTTGACCGGAATGCACGTTTCTGCTGGTAAATGGCCAAGAGACATAGTTGGTGGTTGTCACCCTAATGAATGTTTTGCAATCAGTATCATTTTTTTAGAATTATTAATATTAGGAGCCCTCGATCCGAGACCATTGAATTTTACCCGTAGTTAGCCACGGTTGATTCTGCAAATTTCAACTCGTTATTCTTCCCAACTGTAGGAACGGATTACAGCTATTGTTCCCCTGCGCACTTTTGTGTTGGCTCTTGCAGATCCCTCCATTTCCACACAAAGTCAGAAAACAAACGCAAACGCGAAAAATCCCGCCAAAAAGTCAGTGCTGCGTTTTTTAATTTCCCTTCACCACAATTAACAACATAAACACAGTGTCATTTGAAAAGCGGAGCACCTCAGTTTGGAGTTGTTTAGAGAAGCATGCTGTAACTATTACGTGGTTTACTTTTTGATACATTGGTAAGCACTAACCCCGTTTGAGGCCACAGCAAGAGGCCCATGAGCTCTACTTGTAAATCAAGGACAAGATATAGTAGTTTATCACTTCGACGGACTTAGGAGGAAGCAGGTTTTCCACATAAAGTACACTATGATTGATGAATGGCTTAATTTATACGTATATTAAAGCGCCTTTCGGCAGTTTTGTGGCGGCTTGGTGAATCTTTGTGCTTTAATAAATTAAAGAGTAAAGCACCTAAAGGTGATTGTTTATTAGAAAAAACCTGAAAACAACCGGTTTGTTCTTGGCTTCGGTGTCTGGCTCACTTTCTGAATTCACTTATTGTAAATTTGATTTTCCGTCTATCCTGTTCTTCCTTTTTGCATAAACGTTCTTCGTTTCGCTTTATTCCAATATTTTAGTACCGAGCTAAAACAAAACAAATTGAAATGAGACAAAACAAATCAACAAATTCACATATTCATGCCTAGCCTATGCAAATAAAGAAGTAATTTAACCAAGTTTGAATGTACGAGGTCTGACTGATTTGTTTTAAAATCTAACAAGAAGGTTAAATATTGACCATGCGAAGAGTGAACTATGTTGCATTATACGCGCAAGTAGGAGCGTGGCTCACTGTGAGTCACACTGTTAATTACGTAATTAGGTACTATATGTAGTATTTGTTGTGCTCCTATCTCTTCCTTTCATCAATATTTTGCCAAATAAATACAAAGGAAGAGGGTATCCCAACCCCCCAACAATCTTACCGCAACGGCTGGGCCATCTAGGGCCATCCAAACACAACAACAACAAGCCTGGCATGACTCATTCGTATACCCAGCAAGAAATAAGACCGAGGGGTACACCCCCAACATGTCCAATCCCTATACACATTCCAGACTATTGTTACTTAACACATCCCCCCAAGATGTCTAAAGTAATTCCCCAGATTCCTGCGAGACAATGACCAACACAAAGCAGGGGGGTGTTCTCCGTCTCATACCTTGCTGCATATGCTCATTGGCAAGGGTCATTGATCTTCCCAGCTGCCAGGCAGATATCTTCCCAGGAAACAATAGAACAAGGGCAATAAACCTTACTCACGCTGTGTGGAGAGCCAAAAAGCATTCAATCCTCGGCACTGGCAGTCATCCAGGGCAATGAAATCACTCCACAGTGGCCTGCTAAACTGTCACAAGGGAAAGGGGCAAATTTGTACCCAAATATATCGTCGGTGGTACCACGATCTGACCTATCTCAGTTTTTGACATTTCGAGAAAAACGCGTTTGAAGTCTGGCCTGTTTTGGACCTTTCATTTCCCTCACTACACTAACCTTTATTGACACAGATTTCTTATTTTAATAAAGTTCGACAGTTAACTTAATATATGAGATATTTTGTTGGGCAGAATTTATAGTACTGGGTCAAAGTTATGCGCTAAAACCATATATGTCAGTTCGTTAAAATTTCATTGTCATATTTTATGAGCGCAAAGCGCAAGTTATCCAGATGGGTCGCTTCGTGGAACGATAACATTGTTATTTCTCTGTGGATAACAGTGACCTACGTCGTTTGCGCATGCGCGCGGACCTTTCCACGTTGATTTATCTGAAGGTTCGTTTAAAATCCCCTACTGTCTTTGTTAATATTTTTCGATTATAAACGTCCTACAAAGTAAAACTTTGCAAAAGCTGAAGGAAAGTAGAAGGTACTTGTGGAAGATCTAACAGTGTCAGAGTTGTCTCTTAGTGGTTTTACAGAGTACAATGACTTTCAAATGACATTAATGAAGGATATAGACCAAAAATTATGAATACAGTAACAGCTGGCGAACATTCTATGATACGGAGTGCCAGCACTGTAATGAATAAAAAATCTGAGGGGAAGTGCATACAAACAAACAAACAAACAGTGGTATGGGGGGAGTTGGAAAGAAAATGAAATAAATAGGGTCTTAGCTCACGTAGAGAGAATTTTACGATAACACTGATCTTTAAGTCTGACTGTTTGCTCCTTAAATTCTGAGGCAAAATACGGCAGGTGTCAATGCATTAAGTAATTAATAGCTTTTCGTTATTTTTGATTTAAGAATTGAAATAAAAAGCTTCGTATGGTTTTTAACCCCCCCCAAAAAAAAGTCGACAGAGATTCGATTCGAGTTTTGGTCTTGTGTACTTATTTTTGCAGTATGTAGCAAACAATGCTTTTAGGTTTTTGCATACTTTGCAATTTTAACCAGAAACGTGGCAACTGGATATAGCTTGTTACACTTCGTTGCATTTAGCTTCTTTTTAACTGTGTAGACTTTAAAATTTTATCTGGACTGGTTTACTAAATCAACCTAAAAGAAAAACACAACGCTCAAAACGTCATGAACAAAAAAGGTATAAATGCTATTTTTAGTCTCGCTGACATGGGCCGGCCCGACAGGGCTCCAAAAGACGAGACTGCTACAGTTTTGTTGCCGTGACTGACTACACAAGTACGCCTCGCTCAGGATTTTATGTCATCGTACGAATGTCCATCACGATTTTGTTCGAATATCATAAGAAATATATATATACTTGAGCTCAGCTATTTACAGTAACAGAAACTGGGTTGGGATTAAGGTTCAACGTTCAGCCAATGAATGACACCGAACAGTGCTAAAGACTGGTTCTGAATCACCGAACTTCAAACAGCATCGACAGGTATCGCTTACGGTCCAGATACCAGACTGTATAGGTCAATTCGTTGAAATAAAACGTAATTGTCTTCACGTTTCACGCAGTCAGTCAGTGCGTCAGTCCGTGAAGTAGTAAGTTTAAAATTTGGAGAGGTAGGTCAACATTTTTAATTAATCAAGTTAATTTATTTAGCTTTTTAGAGCACCTATAAGTTTGAAACTTTCAGAAAATAAATATTCGCTTTTGCAGAACACGAATATGCTAAAAACAAGAATTTGCTAAAAACCGTCAAAAATCGAGATAGGTAAGATCCTGGAGTGATCGACGATACGGGAGCGCTAAGGGGTGGGTATCTTCGCTCCAAATTCGTGGCAGTACCAAACTTACTCGGTGGGTGAAACACCCTCTAAAAGGAGGGGCGGGGTCCAACGTACAAAATCAGAAATTGTGGGCCAGCTGCTGGGTTGGATTGTTGCCATGTGATACAAATCACGTAATTTTGCCTCAGGTTGAGGCACGCTCACTCTTCGGAGGGCTTTAAGGAACTTCGGCATTTACAACGCTTTCGGACTTACACAAAGATATACATGTGCCTTTAAAATTGATGAGAATAAAGAGCAGACCAATGAAGGCATGAAGATCTGTCTACTGCATTACGCATGCTCTAATCTAATAGGTAATTCAAAGCTAATTGGACTTTGTCTTTTCAAGTTGTTGCGTAGTCTCTTGATGGTGTAGACTTGGCATTCCGATCGCATAATCTAGGAGTCATTGTAACAGGTGTTCGAGCTGTCGACGTAACAAAACCAAGGAATCTTAAAAGGAAATAATTACTTTGCCTGCAAACGGTGCAATTGAAACGATATGTGGCAAAGGGGGACCCCACACTCTATTGTGTCTTCTTTTATCTTGATGGAATCTTTGGAATTCCTTTCAGATTTCTGAGGGGGGTGCAGTAGGCACAATATCCATAGGTTATACAGCTCGTGCATCACATGGGGGGTCCCCCTTTCCCACATATCGTGCCGGGTATCAAACGGTGAGCGTGGGTACTTTTTGGCACGTTGGATTTTCCAAATGATTTTGTGTTTCTATGAATAAATGAAGTCAAATAAGTGCATTCTTCTGCATTCCTTTAGTTGAAGAAAGCCTAAAGGGTCCCTAGAAATTAAAACAATCAAGCACTTTTCACTAGAGGTTTAATTTGAAAACATTTTGTTAAGGCACCCTGTTCATCCGCTGGGACTGAGGTACATCATAATCCAAAGGCATCTACCAGCGATAAGTGAACGTTGCATATGTATTGTTCTATGCTTGCCTTCTAGGACCAGAATGTCTTTCTGGCTTTTTTTTGGGGGGGGGGGGTTACGCTACCTTTTTTGTGAGGGTACATGTAAGCCACTGTTTTTGTTGCGGATTTCTTTTTTGCGACAAGCATGTCAAAGGGCATACTGGATGGAGGCGCAATGGGAACACGTCACTGTCACTGAAAGGGCAAAAGTGGTAATAACGCTGGCAGAATATTTCAAAAGCGTGTAAAAAGCCACAGCAATGTAGCCGAAGGTTATTTTAAAATAATGCTTTGGTTCTCCTTAACACCTGTTTATGAGGCTAAGCCAATCAGCACACGTCAACTTACTCGACAAACCTGTTGTAGTAACGCCTACTGCACGAAGACCATATGGGTTCGATCTTAACTTCACTCTCGTAGGGGGCCATGACGTAACCAGTAGACGGACAACTATTGTCCTGGTTGTCGTGACACATGCCCAGACTGCGGTGACCAAAAAAAAAGTGTTAAGTTACATTTTCCATTGAGGGCTTTAATTAGCACTATCCTCTAAGCGCCTTAGTCTTGCTGGCTAATGCAGTAGGATATCTGCAGTTACTGATAGCACTTTGAGTTATAAATCTAAGAGTCGCTACACTCTGTTATTGTTTAATACCTTCCCAGGTTTCAATTAAATTATATGTGAAAAACCTTAAAGGCTATTGTACTATTTAACGTAAGTTCAGCGAAGCAACTTTTCGGACCAAATCTAACGGGCCCAAAACTACCCTTTCCTTGGCTACTGTTAATTTTCATTTAGTGTGAGTGATGTGAGAATTTTTTGCATCTTTTTGCTTTCAAGCCCCTGGGTACCATGTTGAAGCAATCCAAGGAGGGCTAATGAAGAGAACTACATTTTTGAAGGGGGTTATTAAACAATTGCTTTCTTAAGACGTCAGAACTACCAGGTAAAAAACCAAAAGCTGCCAGGAGAGAGATAGATATTGTGCTTGTGTTGCGCTTGAAATGGCAGCATTGAGTTGCATGCAGGGTTTTGAAAAATGTGTTAGGAATTTACAAGGGCCTGAGGAACTTTGGTAAGACTAGTTCACTGCCTTGAATATCAATAATGGCATGAGTTTTAATGATATATTATGTGTATTTATCTCTGCTGGCAAACCTTCTGAAAGGAGCTTACTTGTGTCCAATCTCATGAGCAGCCGTGGCGGTAGCCTCATCAAGACTGTGGAATCTCGAAACAGACACTGCCTCTTTGCTGTCACAAACGCCAACATATGCTAGGCCAAGGATACCGTTAACGAAGGGCAGTCTGCAGGGGTGAAAAAAACCCGAGTAGGAAGAATTAAAGTTTTGAGCAGGCCTTGGGTTTACCCCGCTCCACTTGTTGCCAGTTACAGGGCCTACACATAGAGTCCCGAAAAACATAAACCATGTAGGGATTTGCACTGTTTTTGCAGTGGGAAAAGATCATTCAGAAACCCGAATAATTCAGATTGAAGGGCACTATTCAAGTGCAGTTTAATTAAATTAAGTAAATTCAGCAAGTTACCCGCTAAATATAGCAGCATTGTCCCAGTGACGATCATCGGAAGGCGGGTACTGTTTCGTATCCAGCCATTCCGCAGCGCTTGGCAGATAGCGATACGCATTCCAGCTGATCCAAAATCCAGGCTGTGAAGAAAACGGATGTTTGCCAGTATTTTTAACACTGAGCTGGCTAAGATTTGGCTTCCATAGCCAGGAGATATATTTATATCCTTTTCCACTTTTTTCTTTGGTGTTTCTGCTTTCGTTTTTTTGACTATAGATTCTAGCAAACAGCTCTTTCTGCCTTCTGTTTTCTCTTTTATCAAGAGAAAATTGTTTTTGTATCATTACATGGGTATCCGATAGACTCACTGCTGAAATGAAACATTGTATGATCAAAAAGATATTTAATATTCAATAGGAGGAAGTAGGCGTACATTAAAATTGATATTTTCCTGCGTACCTGTCTCACAGTGAGGATTATCATATGCACCAGTTTGGGAACGAGGTCTTTTCCAGCCAGTGAATCTAGTTGAAGGATATTCTTGACCTGTTTCAAAATTAAAGTCAAAGGTTGGAATTATTCAGGCTGTTTTTCTATTTAATTGCAGCTTCCATATTAGACGTGACATCTGCTATTTTGATCATCTTTCACTGATATGTAAAGTGCTTGAATGATATAGCCTTTAAAATCTAAGAGAACCAAAATCGGTTGACATTTAAACTACAAAATTTCAAATCTGCAAAAATATCGTGAGTAAAAAAGGAGCAACATAAAGTTTAAGGATTGGTCATGGGGACGACCCCAAGATGCCCAAAACATTTAATTGGTATTGTAGAGATGATATGGGTCAGATAGAAGTCTTACCGCGTTGAAGACCGTTGTCAGAGCGGTCAGGGTGGAATTTCCGCGTAGATAGTGCAACAAAGCATCGCCGACAAAAGCAAGCTTCAGATACTTGGTACCCGATGGTTTGACATCTCCTTCAACGCACAATGGACCTTGTTGATCAAGGATTATCTATCATTAATCTCTATTAAAGCAACTCCTTAAAAATTGAAAATTTCCGAATAATATCTATATTATCAATTACACGTTATTAATGTGTTTTGGACTTAAACTGACTGCAAGTTAACCTTTTTCAATGCTAGGAAATACTGACGCTGGCACATGTTTCCCAAAGAATTTTGTTAGAAAGTACCCTTATTTACTGCACAAACCATTGTAACTGCACGGCATAGACATAAAGGCTTCAGTTTTTTATAAGAGACAATATATTCATCCCCAATCGAGAAAAATACTCTTTCTGCCGCAGTTTGCACCTTTTTGTTGTGAGGTACTTTGCCAAGAAATTCAATCGGTAGAAGGGTAGCACTCAAAAAAAAAAGACTGCGTTTAATTAACTCTTGGCATGTGCGTCTTTTGTTTTCTTTCCCATTACAACACAGGGCCATTTCGTTTTAGCAAAATCACCAGGGAAACAAGGACGATGTTTTTTCCTTATCACACTGACATTGCTTGCTTGCTAACCTAACATTTCATTACTTGGCTCTGCTGTTAAAGTCCTTGATAAACAAAACCGCATGAATTATACCTAGTATATGTATTGCGCAAGCATTTTAGAACTTTCTATCCCCAATCAATGTCGCAAAGATGGGCTGGCGGTGCATGTGCTACACAACCTTAGCTTTGAGTACAAGGAGGGTGCAGAAAGGAGTCGCATTTAAAATGTAGCGGCACAGAATATTAACTGTGTGCAAAATCTGCCTACACAAAGTAGATATAATGTCAAAATGCTTTTTCTTAAAAATTAAACTCGTTTGTAGATGTTATTTAAAAACAAAGACATTTCCCAGAACGGAATAAAATTGAAACCGAAGCTCCTAACCGTTTGTGGCTGTTAGGTACGCTCGCTTCCCCCTACACAATAAGCCATTGTTAGCGAAATCTCTTGCAACGAACAAAGCCGTCTCATGGCGAAAGGCTGCGAGCTCGTTTTGGAGAAAATGTACCCCGACGGAATTTACTGCCTGAACCAGCTAGTTCAGTAACAAAATGATTCAGTGTTACACCCAATTTTGGGATTCAGTGTAATTCTGGTTATAAATGAAATGCTCTGGTTAGACCTATATTTATGGAACGTTACAGAGCCAAATGTCAATTTAACAGAACAACTGATATAAATGATCGGCGCGACATCAAAGATGCCGCAATACTGTGTTATCGGTCTGTGTGATCGGTCTCTGAGACCTAGGATACACGCCTTGCTATTGCCGTGCTGAACTCGAATAATTCAATTGTTTAAAGTTCGCTGTGGCAATAGCACAGCGTTTAGTGCAATTCGGCTCGCCGAATTGAGTTCAGTATGGTGAGCCCTTTCGCTCGACAGGGTATGCTGCAATGTCGTCGATCCAATGATAGCCGTGGCACGACACTTCTTTATTTCAGTTCAGCATCGCCGTGATATTGCCAAACTCACTTGAGCTAAATTTGCCACGGCAGTAGCTTGCCGCTTCATCCAGTGCCGGTACCGCGTTCGTAGAGTCGGTGGACACAAATGCAGTGAGCCACTGGATGTCATGTATCAAGTTTTGATTTTGGTATGATTGGGTTCCTATACTCAAAATGCCGTTGAAAAAAATAAATAACCCCCCCCAAAAAAAAAACAAAAGAAAAGCCATGACCTTCAGTGTCAAAGCTGGATATCCCTGTTATCTTTTAACGATAATATGAAGCGGCAGCTGGAGGACTCGACGTGGAAGTTGTTGTGCACACGAATTCGCATGTAACGGAATTCTCTTATTAAGCACTCTGCGGGGAAAACCCCCTTCTACCCTTTTGTTTGTTCTAGAGGAAGATAGAATAACCTGGCAATATAGAACCAACGAGCCCACTTACCTCGCAATTCAACAAGTTCTCGTAATGTATGATTCTGGGTCTGGTCTCATAATATTCACTCGTTAAAGCAGAAATTGGTCATAGTATAAATGACTACTTAAGGCCAAGGCTCAGACCAGCTACCGGTACACGTTTAACTACTGAGGTCGAAGATCATACAGCGCAAACTTAGGCCTATGGGAAGACTGTCACTGGATAACTGCTAATTAAAATGCGTGGGCTTAGGGATCTACATGGTTTTGCTATATTTATCGACTTCATCAAACATATTTGTTACCGTTAAACAGTCACTTAATTGAAACTTCTGATACAAAGCTAAAATCTGCACGAAAAAGTTATTTTGAATTTCCATACGGGTAGTTTTAAGAATAATATAATCTGTGACTCACTGCTACCTGTACTATGTGGTGGTATACTTCAAGACAAAGCAAAAGCCCTTGAAAAAATATTGCTTTTGGGAACTAAACATTACACTCACTCCTAACAGGGCAAGAGGCACCATTTTGCGGTTTATTCTTGTAGGCAACGTGGGGGAGGCCACGCCCAATGTCCCTCTTGTAGGCGTGCTCATCATCCAGTGGTTCAATGTATGTCGGCCCAGAGGCATGATACGCAATTGCCATCTTTGAGAAAAAGGCAGACAACAATTTTTTGGTGTCTGTGCAGTCATGAATAAATCAATTCGATCTTTCTAGTCATTTTCCGAATTGATTGAATTTTTCTTCAAATTATTTGGATGTCTTAATGTTTTGCGTGTAAGACTTCTATAAATGTCAGCACAGTGATGAAGTGCAAAAATTTTTCAACAATGTGTCAAGTCATATTTTAGATTCACCAGTTCTGAATATTCATGAAAATACAGGGTCGTTTGTAATTTATACACAGAATGCAACGAAACTGTAGAAAAGCAAACTTACCAAACCCACGCAAGTGGTGACAGACACGAGAGAGTCACCTTCCCCGACGACTTTGCCGCTGTAAATACAGTCAGTTTGGACAGGCACCTTGATGATGCCCTCATCAGTGAGGTATTCGGCCTCGAGTCCAGGTTTAATGCCACTGTCGTCGTGCTCCACCGTCATATGGAGGGTCTCACCGAATGCATCGACGTAAACGTCGAGGTGCGAGGCTGTAATGGAACTACGATCCATACTGCGCTTGGTGTCAGCAGTCACATATTCCGGATATACTATCTCGTACTCAGGGGCTAAATATGGTAGATAATAAGAAATTAAGAGTCGGGTTAAACCAATCTGCCCCAATAGAACACAGGATCTGTGTTTGGTAAAAGTAGTTTTAAATAATTGTTCTTTAGTCTTGGAAAAGAAAACTCACCTTTGTCGTCGCTGTCAACACCAAAGTAGCGCTGAAGTTCATCCTTAGAGAACCTGTGGTTTGGCTGTAGATAAAAACTCCCAAGGCTATTATCGTAACAGATTTTTCTTGAAAGGTTTTGTTCTTTGCCAAATATGAAAAGTACTTCTTGCTCAACAAAAGCAGGTTTTTATCTGCAATGACAACATTAAATGGGTTCACTATGCTATTACAACAACTCCCTTCATTTCTGATAGGTTAATCGCAAATAACGTGCCATTGATATTTCGGATCGAAACATGGCGCCCGCGCTGGAGACCAATGCGAAGGAACCCCTCAGGAGCTATTTTGGAGTCCAACAGAAAATGCCTATCACAATATAGTTATGACGAAATGACCGACTACTAAAAAGGAAGCACAGAACACCGGTTCTTCTCTTTACTGACGAACTCGTTTTGAAAATCACAAGTGCTGCTGATGAAACAAATTAAATATGCTTTCAAGCAATAAGAGCAGTTATTAGAGGTATTACAGAATATTGTTTGAAGCCAAAATTGACTGGAGCGCGGCAATTTTGTTTCGCAATTTCACGATGAAGTGAGAAAAAAAAACAGCAGCATTATTGGCCTTTGGCTTGGCCTACCCGGAGAGGATTTATTGAGGGGTTCCAAACAGTGAACGTTTCACAATGGAAAGAATATTTGATTCAGTGATATACTGAATACACCATTCTACGACGCGAACTATTCCCAACATAACAACTGTTGTTTTTATGACTTAACGTCACTAAAACTCCACTGTATGAAAATCTGTTCCAAAAAGTTATGTCTGGCAGGCATATCAAAGGAGGTATTCTTTCACCAACTACGCTAGGCATAATGGAAAACGTACCACTGGTGGTCCAGCAAGCGCCATTGCAGCGAAGGACAGGAAGAGAGAAGCCGACAGCATCATCGTGGTATACGTCTTGGAAACCGGCAATCAGAATGAAAAATTTGCCTGCCTGTGCGAGTCTTTTAAAGAATTTCCAGGCAACCCAGTTTTTTCTGTTTGTTTCAGGATGATATTAACGGAGGGTTATGAGAGGCATCGACGCACTTATCAAATAATCCATCTGATTGGAACATCATTGAAATGGTAATATAGAAACGAAAATTAGGCCTTTCGCTACAGTTGAAAATTACTTTTGATACCAACGTACCAGCAAATTTCCTACTATGTTTTATACTTTTTTCTTCACTTACCTTTAAACACGACTGATATGATACGGAGTTTAAAATTGTACTAATCTTACGATCTGAAAGAAAGGAGTCTGCTTGGACCATCAATGGATTTCCAATTAAGTGTCCAATGTCACTGGTAATTATTGGATGCGAAGTGTGTCTGGAAATACTTCCTGAGACTATCCTTGTTTGCAGGCAAACCTGATATTTAATAACCAACTCATTGCAGTGTCCTCAAGGTGTATTGTATTCGTTTGGTAACAGGTTTTTTTATGCCACCTGGCCAGGTACGTCGGACATAAAACTGCGTCTGCTAATTTCATCCATCCGAGCAAACATCACCCAGCCTTTAAAATCATTTGTCGGACTACGTGGCAAGAGCTTGGCTGGGATCCAGGGTAGGAAGAATCATGGGTTTTGTTTGTCAAGTTGGTGAACTTAGGTAGTCCTTTCTTTAGACACCCTGATGGTTGTAACCTAAACGGGAACCTCTGTATTTTGTCAGTTGGAAACTCTGTTCTTATGTTGATATTTCTTTGATGTCTTAATGCTGTTAACATAGTGTTAACACCTTGCTCCACCATGCCGTGAGACTGGAGAATTACTACGCGTGCGAGAAGTCTGCAGATTACGCATTGCTCCATTATTTCTTGAAGAAATATAGCTCGATTGATTTTTCATCTTCTGGCGCCCTTCATTATTGAAAACTTGACGAAGGGCTAAAAATTCGAACTGTATTTCATATGGACTGAATTCATCAATTTAACACATAAAACACTTCCGTGTGGCACAACAAAGGGGGACCGAAAAACTACCTGAAGGAGACAGAATAACCAGGAGGAGTAGGAGGCGGACAGATTTACAGGGACGGGGGACACTTTTCCTAGGTCAGTCCAGGTTTACCGGGAGACAGATTTGCTGTCTATGTCGGCAAAGTGATTGGCTGCGACCGTTTTTGGTAAATTAGCCCATCGGCTGTGTACAAACGGTTGGCAGATTCGTCAAGTATCTGACAAACGGACAGACGGATGGATAAACTAAAGCTCATCTGTCTGTTTACCAACAGAGCAGAGCGCTTTTTCGCATTCCTTTTGTTAATTTGATCAGGCAATCTACTGTACAAACCTAATGGCATAATCATCTCACTATGACCATTCGGTTTCAACCCAAGCAAGCATGCATTTCTGGAAATAACATGCTTTAAATAGTGCATGTTTAATGCAATTTGACTCCTTATCTGATGGCATAATCGTCAGTCAGGCAAGTTTTCGTTTAGAATACTCACTTTTCTTGTTCTCTGCAAAGGTTGAACTCGAGGGGATGTGTATTTAAGAAGACTTAGGGCTTTACACAGTGCATCTTTGATGTCATGTGACTTGTCATTTGAAGGCGTCATCCTCACATGAGGTCAATATTTGCCTAAAGCACTTCCTTTCCAAGATATCAGCAAGGTTTCAACCCAATCAGACATACACTTCAAGAGAAATAGAACTTGCAGGAGTGCACCTTTAATGTTACGTGAAATGAATATCTGATGACGTTATCATCAAATGAGGTCAATTTCGTCTTTAACACTTCCTTTCCTAAATACCTGCCAAGTTTCAATAGAATCGGACTTGCACTTCAGCATATATATAGTACTTTAAAGAATGCACCCTTTAGGTCACGTGACTCGTTTTGGTGATGATAATGTAATCACACGAGGTTAATCTCCGTTTATAAACCTTCCTTTCTTGACTGGCTGCAAGGTTTTAACCTAATCAGTCATGTACAAATCAAAACACAATTAAAACATAGTACTATTATCGTAAAAAGAGCACATATTAGAGATTTTAGACATTTGTCCCTTGTGGCATTCTAAACAATGTGATCTTCCCTCAGCGCCAGATGCTTGGAAATTTTGAAAATGTGAAAACAAATGAGTATATACCCTATGCACTGTGCGGTGCCTTTGTTACAGGCAGATATTGCGCGTCCACGCACACAGTAGCCAATGCACAGTATACAAATGGAATTTTCGAGCTCGCGAACATTGTGGGTTTTTGTTGTTGGCAGGTTATCTATGTGAAGACGTTCTGCACTTCATGCAGTTGACTGCAATGTTTTAGTTATTATCTAATGGACACTTCTGACAAATCTGTAGATGGTTGGGTTTATTAGCGAGTTTTGAAGAATAAATAAAAAGCACTTTTTATTATATCCTCTGGTCTGATGACGTCACCGGTCCCACATTTTACACATGTATTAATTGGGTAAAGATCACCTGCCTTATCTCCTTTTTTCATGGGATCTGGACAACTTCGCCACAGACATCTATACAAAATCCATTTTTCCGAACTTTTAACCTGTCGCTAGAGGGCTCTCGACAATTACGTGACGTCATCGGTAGATGATTTGAAGAATACCACACCTGCAATACTACAAGAGATTGACACCGTTGAAAACAACATGATTACCACATTTGAACAATAAACCAATTTCTGGTTTCAACTGGAAGGAAGGGTCACGTGATTTAGTTACTGATTTAGTTACCCTATATGAGATGAATTGAAGAAGAAATTATACTTTGCCCCTCTACACAAACAGAATGTTGTGGAAGGCCAGGGTTGATTTTATATGGATTTTTAAGAATTTAACACATAATTTAAATATTCAAAATTTCACATAAAGTCACTTGATGAAGTCATCATCACGTATTTCTTAGTATGCTATTTGCTATATGGTCTTTGCTGGCTGTAACTTGCAGGACGACTGAAGGAAGCATAATTACCAAAACGTTGCCTTGAAAACCTGTACAAAGTCAGTGGGCTGAAATGAATATTAAAAAATCGAGGATAATAATTCACTTGCTGACGTCATCATGTAGTCATTGTTCTTGGACAATATAAGCGTAAAGGACCTTCATAGGTGTAAGTTTGATTAAGATCTAGAGTTGCAAAGGGACCAAAGTCGATGTTGGAAGAAATGTGCACAAAACAAATGGGCCTTGGCCCAGAAGAAACATGAAGAAAAAAAACCGAACAAAACAAATGCATTTTTTGCGTAATTGCGAAAAAGTCAATAACGTAAGTTGCATGAGAGAAGTGCTCTCCTTATTCCATGGATTTTGTTCCTTTTGGATGGTCATCGAACTCTTGGTTTGTGTATTGGCCAGAGAATGTAGATCACATATGGTTAGTTTTTTTACTTTGTGTTTAGCACTTTGGGCCGTTTCTGATCTGAATCCCTTGTCGCACTGATACAGAAAGGATCGCTGGCAGCCATATTGGCCACCAAGCAACAATACATAAGAAACGATAGCGTCAAGCTAAGACAACTGAGCACAATTAGATTCAGTGTAGGACACGCGTACATAGGAAACAGTCGCACCTGAAGTAGTCCATGAAGGCATTGTAGCGTTTTCTACACAATTACTTGAATTATTTGCATTTATTTCGTTTAGTGAATTTAGCTTTCAGAATCTTCATTTTTAACTTTGATGACTTTTTCATTTCCAGTATATATCCTGTTTGCCTTTTCTTAGACACATTAATCACTACATTTTCCTTGTAAGAGTACACGCACACAGTGTCTTGTACAGTGTACATTGCTTCCGCCTATTTGACCTTGTTAGCCCAGAGGCTGTGGTACACTTCAGCATGCTTCATTTAAGCTTGTGCTATCATCCACCAAGGACTTTGTTTTAAGGTGAAATTATTCATTCACAGTCATTGTTCTAAGAATCCAGCTAAGACACGTGACTAAGACTTTCCTTTCTTAAATTTTGTGACTTTAACTACATCCTGTTTCTAACCGTATATAAGTCCTGCATCATTGTACAGCTCCTCAGTATCCAGTATCCAGTATTAGTCTGCTTTTCAATTCTTCAATTCAGTCAACAGCTTACAATTCTATCGCAACCGTCTCGGTCGTTCTTTCGAATAAAGTTGGTAACAACACTGAATTAACACTGACCCTCATGACGACCCTATAGCATCATCAAACGTAGGAGCGGTGGACTCATTGAAATGTATCGCAGCCTTCGAAAATGAATGGTACACCGTGACTTTCAGCGCACGCCAAGACTGCGAGACAATGGTTACGGGAGGCATGGTGCCGATTGAACGGGTCATTTTGCATAATATAGCATCTGTCTATGCTGACAGCTCCGTATGAGATGGCTGACGGGGTATAATTTGCACCGTCTTGACAAACGTTGGTTCTGGATTAAACATCAAACGACAGACCCACGGTTTTAATGACTGGAAACAGGAGTCCAAAGCCTGTTAATGAAGAACATCAAGATTCCTATTATGCCAAACTACGTCAGAGTTGACCCTTTTGCCTACTAGTTCGTCATCATAAGGGCCAGCAAAAGTCATGTAAAATCTGTGATCAACCAGACTGTATGATGTGACAAGTACATACTAATGTGCATTAGACGACCCCAAATCTAACGATTATAATATAGTGGCATGTAGTTACGCCAGCACCCTTATCGGGTGAGAGCTAATTAATCATGCAGCCCGCAGGCCACACTCTGCCTTGCGCGGACAGAGCCTCAACATCCGCTGCAACAAATAGTCTCTCGGACTCCACATTTCATTCTTTCAGTTAGGTTATACTTCTTTATTAATCCTTGAGTGTAAATGACTAATTTATAAGCACTGTTTTGTTGATAATCGATGCTGATTCAAGTGTATGCAATTGTTGAAGGTAATTACACTTAGCGTTTTTATGAATGGCGGAGCAATATGTTTAGGCCATGTGGCTGTGCCTATGGCGTTGGGCGTTCTCGAACTTTCTAGAGTGCCGCCGTTGTTGCTGCTGCGAACTGAGCAACGCCCAGGTAAGAAAGTTGCCCCCAAATTCCTTGCTGTCAGTACCTTTTTCTGGGTCATGTACCTTCATTAGACTTGTATCATGGTAACCACTGAACAGATTAGCTGGTATTATACTGAGGCTAATCGTATTTGTGACAATCTTTCACGTTTGTTGTGCTGTACACGTTACGGCAAACGGTACTGTACATGTCACATTGCATCAACGCTATACATGTATCCTGCCTGGTAGACCTCGTGAGTGACACGCGCTGTGTATTATAGTACGGTGCGTACGTGGGGCTGTAATGCTTTGCGTTGATACTATATGGCGTTACGAACGTGATTGAACGTTTGGACTTTTGTACATTTAATATTATGCAAGGTGCATTCCTGTGCGGTTGCTCGTTCCTCCATGCTCATACTGCCATTCCTCAACATATTATAGTGATTGATATTTGTCATTCATACTTGTATGTACATGTGCCATGTTGTGTTTGGGCCGCAGTTCAGGGGAAATAGCTGTGGGAGCCTGCAAGAGCTCGATCTTTGCTGATACGTCAGCAACTCTACTGTATCCATGACACCGGGGTAATTTACCATAGTACAACTACTGTAATTCGAGTGCATGTTTTGTCCGACCATTTGTATGACTTTATGAGCAATAATTTCACAGTAGTTTAACTATTGTGTCAGTATGTTGTACTTTGTGTACAATTTTTCTTCTCTAAGGCTTACAATTACGTAAATATTTTGCCAACAGGGTTTATTTTGGTCTGAAAAAGATTCAAGGGCTGAGATGAGACAAATGAATCAGCAATTAAAATAAACATTGGATTGTCCATCTGGGGTCTGACTCACACGTTCTTGGTGCCAAATCATCACCTAACACGTATGGACCTACCACCAAAGAACCAGGGGCGGCTTTAATATCAAGAAATTCCCCAAATATCATATTTAAACCAACCAAAATGTTCTCGCTTTTTGATCATCCACACACGGGGTTATTTGTTATTAACCTGATAACTGGAACAACGCGATTAGACATAGATCGAATAGACATAAGGGCTGAGTTCGGGCAGCTTGTTCCCGTATGTTCACGAACAGTTCGATTTGTTGTTCGTGGGTCGGCAGCTCAAACGCCGGGAAAAAACAAACAACATGCAACATGGCGGCGTCCATGTACATGTACGTTACTCGAGAGTTAAGTTTTGGATGGGTTGAATTCTTTTCTATGTAAACAGGAACATTCATTTCTGTGTTTGGGAAAATAATTAATGTTAATGTTGCAAAACTTCCCATTGTCTACATGGTGTATGGCTTTGGAAGCCACCTCTCCACTTTTGCAGCTGTTCAAAAATCAAAATCGCATGACTTTTTCCGTGTGTTCCTGTGAAACCCTGACGAGGAGGTGGTGTGTGATCCTGTTCCGAGAACAGTGTTCTTGAATCGTGTTCCCGCCGTTCGAGTGCGAGACCAAGAAACCCGTGTCAAGAACAGACCGCCCGAACTCGACCATAGATCGATTGGGCAATTATGACTGAATTAGGAGATGGCGCTATTTTACGCTATTATAGGGGAGACGCTATTGGATACTGATCAAAGCTGCCATTCACTTTCTTCAATGTTATTTAAATTATTTTTAAGGTGTGGTTTTATCAAAGGGTAACCTAGTTTTCAAACAACATGAAGGTCAGAGCTCTTTATCAAGCTGTGTGATGCCAAAAGTAAAGAGTGTGGCTTTCTAACCGGAAACTCACAGCGGCATTTCATTCTTTGACCGGAATACATGTTTCTGCAGGTAAGATCCAAGACCACTGAATTCGCCCGTAGTTGGCCACGATTGATACTGCAAGTTTCAATTCGTTATTCTTCCCAATTGTAGGAACGGATAACAACTATTGTTTCACTTTACACCTTGATATTGGCTCTTGCAGCTCCTTCCATTTCCACACAAAGACAGTAAACAAACATGAAAAACGCAAAGTGAGTGCTGATTTTTTTTAATTTCCCTTCACCACTAATGACAACAAAAAGACAGTCCTGTCATTTGAACAGTGGAGCACCTCGGTTTGGAGTTACATAGAGAAACATTCTGTTTAGAAACATGCTCTAGCTAGTTACACGTAGTTTGCTATTTGATGCACTGGTGTGTACTGACCCCGTGTGAGGCCACCGCAAGACGCCCATGAGCTCTACTTGTCAATCAAGGGCAAGATAAAGTAATTTACCACTTAGTGGGACTTGGAAAGAAGCAGGTTTTCCACTTGGACTGCATTGTGGCTGCTGGATGGCTTAATTTAAACCCGCATTAAGGCCCCTTTAAGCAGTTATGTGGCATCTTTCGCATCCATTGGTGTAAGATTCATTCAAATATAAACGATAGCAAATAGGATATTTTATTGTGCTGCTTACTTTTTCAGTTTCCAATAATAAAATTATAATGTAACATTAAAGCTCTGAAAATTTTCGAAATCTGGCAAACTTGGGGTCATCCGAAAGGGCACATGTTCCTGCATCCATTGGTGTACGTTTAATATCAATTGTTGAAATCTAGCTCAATTTTCACTTTTAACGTATTCATTTGATTTTGCATCTGTCCTTTGCAGACCGTCTTTAGTTTATTGCTTCACATATTCTTACTGCCGGGCTGAAAAACTAGAACAAGACAAATAAAACAAAAATAAACTAATAAGAAATAAACAAACTTTGAGACGAACGAGGTCAAAATGTAATCTTCTGTAACCTTAGGTTAAACCCAGACTAAAATAGACAAAAACATGACTTTCAGAAAAAAAGCATTCACAAAAAAAGCATTTACCACTTTTTGCACTTAGGCCTACACGAAGATATACATATGCATATACATAAAATCTTTTAGAGACTTAAAGATCTGACCTACTTTTTCACGCTTGCTCTAATCTAATAGGTAAATCCAAAGTTGGTTGGATATTATCTTTTCAAGTCGTTGCGTACTTTTTCGATGGAGCATTACTTTGCATTCTGACCACGCGATCTAAGAGTCGTTGTAACAGGTCATCTTCCTGTTGACATAAACCAACAAATGTAAGGAATCTTAAGATAAAATCATTACTTTCTGTGCAAACAGTGAGTGCCGGTACTTACACCCTGCGTTGCTCAAAGGCCTTTATGTTTCTGTGAATAAATTAAGTCACATCAGTCCGGTCTCCTGCGCTCAGTTAAAGAAAGCGGAAAGGGTTCTCAGAAATTAAGACAATGAAGCTCTTGTCATTAAAGTTTTAATTCGTGAAAACTATATTAAGGCACCCTCTTATTCCGCTGGGGCTGAATACAACATAATTCAGGGGCATTTACCAGCAGAGAATAAACGGGGCATATATATTAGGTTTTGCATTCTCGGGCAAAAGTGTCTCTCTTGGTTTTTTGGTAATTACGCTTTAACTAACAACTTTTAAGAGAGCGTGCATGCACGCCACTGTGTTGTGTGCTACAGGCGTACCCAGGGGCAGACCCCGAGGGGCGCAATAGGAACCATATCATTGCCCCCTGAAAGGCCAGCATTAATAGTAATGATGGCAGAATATTCCAAAAGCGTGTAAAAACCACCACAATATAGCTAAACCTCCCAGGAAGCCTTGAAAACTCAATATTATGCAGACTCCATAAAGACTAATGAAAGCCATGTTTGATGTTATGTTATGTTGGTTATGTGGAAAAATGGTTTCGTCCCCCCTGTTTGTGAGGCTAGCCAATCAACACACGTCAACTTACTCAACAAAGCTGTTGTAGTAACGCCTACTGCATGAAGACCATATTGGCTTGATCTTTTCTTCATTCTCATAGGCGGCCATGACGTAACCAGAAGGCGGACAACTATTTCCCTCGCTGTCATGGCACATGCCCAGGCTGCGGCGAAAAAAATAGAGCAAAATGGTCAGTTGCAACGAGGGCTACGCCGTCTAAGCGTTGCAGTCTTACTGGCTTATGCAATGGGATCGGACATTACGTGGCCCTTTGAGTATTAAATAAAGAATTCACTACACTCTGCTTTTGTTGAATACCTTCCCGGGTTTAAATAATGAAACTGCATGTTGAAAACCGTAAAAACTTTTTTATTGATGAACCTCAGTTAAGTGAAGCATCATCTAGGACTAAGGGAACAAAACCCCATGAATACTGCGTCGAATCGATTGGGTTCTCACCGTCCGAAAAAGTGGAATGGGTCCAAGAGCACCCTCGCCTTGGATACTGTTAATTTTAATTTGCTGTGATTGCTATGAGAATTCTTTACGTCATTTTGGTTTTGAGCCACTGGTACTGTCTTGAAACAATCCAAGGTGAGCTAATAAAGAGAGCTTGCCTCCCTACATTAAGGTCATAAAATTAGGGAAACATTGCTTTATCAAGTCATCGGAACTGCAAGGAAAGAAAATGAAACCCCAGCCATACAAACGTCTTTACCCGGGAGTGAAATGGTAGCTGCCAGGAGAGAGAAAGTTACTGCGCTTTAGTAGCTATACTATGGCCAGAAATGACAGCAGAGAGCTGCATGCAAGACTCATTAAAACAATTGCAGGGAATGTTCATGGGCTCGATGAGCCTAGGTAAGAATAATTCTCTACCTTAAATATCAATAATGGTGTAAGCTTCACAAATTTTTTGTGTAAGCTAATCACTGCTGGCAGACCTTCTGAAAAGAGCTTACTTGTGTCCGATCTCATGAGCAGCCGTGTCGGTCGCCTCATCAAAACTGAGGAAGCTAGAAACTGACACTGCCTCTTTGCTGTCACAGGCGCCAACATATGCTAGGCCTAGGATACCGTAATTGAAGTGCATTCTGCAGGGGTACAAAAGAAGCATGAGTGAGAACTTCACGGATAGTTTTGAAAAAGGCATGGCTTTAGAGAACGGGTTGGGGTTTAACCCTGCCCCACTTATTGATATTTTAGGTGTCTTTGTCTAAAGGTAGAAGAGCTCCATAAAACCATAAACCATGTAGGGATTCGCACTGTTTTTACAGTCAGCAAAGGTCATTTCAAAGCAAATTTCTTCAAGCGTAGTTTAAATAAGCTGATCGGTAATTCGGCAATTGACGAGCTCACCCGCTCAAGACAACAGCATTGTCCCAGTGGCGATCGTCAGAAGACGGGTACTTGTTATCATCTAGCCATTCTGCAGCACTTGGTAGATACCGATACAAATCCCAGCTGATCCTATATCCAGGCTGTGAAGAAAATAAATGTTTGTCGGTATTTTAATTAATATAAGTTTCCCCAGCCAATGTCGGAAAATGCACTGTTAAATAGAAATTCAATTTGACGTGGATTTTGAAAACGACTTGAAACTTGGTTTCATTTTCGCAATAAGAACATTCGACATCGTTTTGCATCCTTCAAACAAATGAATGTACATTACATTTAATTTAAAAGGTTGCAAATAAGTTGTAAGGATTTTGATTTGACGTATTCGTTACCAAGTGTTACCAATGTGCAATCTTATCCACCAAAAATATGTCGTTTACCGTAAACCGTCGGTATTGAGTATTCATTTTCATTTGCTGTAACTCAATTTCACAAAATTTGCTTTCAATTTGATTAGAAATGTACAGGGTTACAGAAATCGAGATACCAATTTGATAATGGATGTAGTGTCACTCATGAAGAATTACATTGTGGTTGTTATCAAACTTATCAAACATCAATTAAAGTCTATAATTCTTCTGTATTTTCCTGTTCAGCCATTGCATGAAGGCCATGTGTGAACTTTTATGTGATTGTGGCAACAACGTAGCCCGAGAAGGAAATGTTACCTCAGCGTCAGTGTTTGTTCAGGAGTCCTACGATAGTTGGTATCGTTTTTAAAGACAACACGAATGGTCTATTTGACTCATGAATATTCAAACATTTAATCATTCAACTAAACACTCCTAAGAACATAATTTTCGTTAGCACAAAAATGAATTCCAACTCTTGACCAGGCAAACGTTAAATAACACTTTGGACTGCAGCGCTACACTCGTGTCGCGCAAAAGTAAATGTCAACATTCTTAAAACCAGTGCAATATCGAGAAATTGAACGCTGACTTCATTCGACTGCATTCAACCTCACTGAAATATTTATAACTGAAACGAGGGTTTGAATGTTCATTCCGTTTCGCTCAAAACTAAAACTAATGCCACCATTACCAATTCATTTACACATTTTCCAAAATTGGCCAGGAAAACCTATATTGAACTGCACAAGAATTGGTTTCCATGGCACGGTGGTATATTAACATCCTTTTCCACATTTTTCTGAGGTTCTGCTTTAGTTTTATAAAAAGCATAAATTCTACAAACAGCTTTTCTGGATGCTGCCTGCTAGTTGATTCTATTTCTTTTCAAGAGAAAATTACCTTTTGCCCCATTACAGGCATTGGTATTCGATATACTGACTGCCGAAATAAAACACTATCCGATCACACGGGTATTTAATATTCAACTGGAGGAAGTAGGCGTACAATGAAATTGATAATTTCATGCTAACCTTGCTTAGAGTGAGGATTATCATATGTACCAGTTTGGGAACGAGTTTTTTTCCAGCCAGTGAATCGAGTTGAAGGATATTCTTCACCTGTTACAAAATTAAAGTCAAAGGTCTAAATCACTTTGGCTCTTTTTCTATCTAAAGGCAACTTCCATATTAGACGTGATGTCCGCTATTATGGCTTGGTCTTTCATTATCAAGTGCTTGAATGATATCACCGCCGGCTGCCTTAAAAATCTTTAATGATAAACTGACAAAATTACAAATTTAAAACAATATTGTCCGGAAAAGAGAAACATAGTTAAGTGTGATAACTTAAAGGGGTAGAAAAGTCTTGAACTATCATCGATGGTTAGAAAATGGTCTGTTAATTGGAGCCTCAACCCAAAAAAGGTCTGACTACGTCTGACTATCACTATCAAGAGGTCAATGGAGAGATGTCTGAGATATTATACTGGTAAAGTAAAGATGACGTGGGTCAGAGAGAGGTCTTACCGCATTGAACAGCGTTGTCAGAGAGGTTTGGGTGGTGTTTCCGCGTCGATAATACAATACAGCATCACCAACGAAAGCAAGCTCTAGATACTTGGTGCTAGACGGCTTGATATCTCCTTCAGTGCACCTCAAACCTTGTTAATCCAGGATTATTGAACATTAATCTCTAAACAACGCCTTGTTTTAATGATAATATGAACCAGTAGCTTAGGACTCGACTCAGAAGTTACTTTGTACACGGATTCGCATGTGACGGAATGTACTCAAAAAGCACTCTGCCGGGAAAACCCCATTCTACACTTTTCTTTGCTTTAGGCACAGTTACCATACAATTAAATCAAACAAGTCCTCATAATGTTTGATTTTGAGGTCAGGTCTCAAATCTTTACTCTTCAAATTAGAACTTTGGTAAAGTATAACTGAACAGTCAATAAACATTTTGGGCCGAATCCCAGACCACCTACACGTTTAAATATTGAGGTAGAAGATTACACAGCGCATACTCAGTATGTGGAAGGAGCGTCACTGGATAAACGCTACTGAAAAAGCTTCAGTTTGGGAAGCTACATGGTTTTGCTATGAATCAACTTTACTATACATGCTGGTTATTGGTAGGGTGTCTGTAAAACCTCCACGGAACATTCATTATTGAACTCTTTTCAGCGAAAGTTTTAAGAACAAGCTGCTACACCTGTGGTGATATACTTCAAGACAAAGCACGAAACCCTTGCAAAAATTCTTTCTTATCGGAACTAAACATTGTACTCACTTCTAACAGGGCAAGAGGCGCCGTTTTTGGGTTTATTCTTGTAGGCAACGTGAGGGAGACCACGCCCGATATCCCTCTTGTAGGCGTGCTCATCATCCAGTGGTTCAATGTATGTCGGCCCAGAGGTATGATATGCAATCGCCATCTTTGAGAAAACGACAGACAAAATTTTCAGCGTATATGCTGTCATAAATAAATCAATTCGATCTTTTGGTCATTTTTTCAAGTTGATTGGATTTTCCTTTGAATATTTGGACGTCTTAATGTTCTGCAAGTAAGACTTCTACAAATGCCAGCACTTTAATAAAGTGCAAAATTTGTTCAACGATGTGCCAAGTTTGTAGTTGCATCAGTTTTGAATATTCATGAAAATACACGGTCGTTTGTAATAAATCCACAGAATGCAACGAAACTGTGGAAAAGCACTGATGGACTTACCAAACCCTCGCAAGTGGTGGCAGACACGAGAGAGTCAGCTTCCCCGACGACTTTGCCGGTGTAAATACAGTCAGTTTGGACAGGCTCCGTGATGATGCCCTCATCAGTGTAGTACTCGACCTCGAGTCCAGGTTTAATGCCACTGTCGTCGCGCTCCACTGTCATATGGAGGGTCTCACCGAATGCATCGACGTAAACGTCGAGGGACAAGGCTGCAATGGCACTACGACCCACACTGCGCTTCATATCATCGGTCGCATACTCTGGATACACTATCTCGTACTCAGGGGCTAAATTTGGTTGGTCACAAGAAATTGCGAGTCATGTTAATCTAGTAGGACCAAAAGAACATAGAGTTTCTGTCTGTGTTTCGTAAAAATGGTATTGAACAATTGCTCTTTAGTCAAAGAAAAAAAGAGATGTTTACTAGGTCTCAGACTCACCTTTCTCGTCGCTGTCAACACCAAAATAACGCTGAAGCTCATCCTTGGAGAACCTGTGGCTAGGCTGCAGATAAACACTCAAAAAGCTAAAATCTTAACAGATTGTTCTTGAAAGATTTCAGTCTTTGTCGGGTAACTAAAAAGTAGTTCTTCCTGCTTAAAAAAGGAACATTTTATCTACACGACAAAAATAAACGGCTTCACTATTATAATAAATCCCCCATCATTCTGATCTGTTAATTTTGAATCACGCGCCACTGATTTCTTGTATGGAATCATGGTGCGTATGCACCAGAGAACAATGCAAGAAAACCATTCAGGGGTTATTTTTGATATGATGCAAAATTCTGCACTAACGCAGCTTTCAACACATAATGACTTACCCCTAAAAATTAAATACAGACCATCAGTCCTCTCTCCCCTGACGAAATTGTGTCGAAATCGCGACGATAAGGGTAACTAGTTTAGATATCCAGGAATACTGTTTGAAGCCAGAATTCATTGGAACGTGACAATTGCTTGTCGCAGTTTCATGCCGGAGTGAGAAAAGGAGATGGCCGTTGGCTTGGCCTACTTGAAGAGGATTTATTCAGGGATTTAATTCAACAATGCATGCTTCACAATTTGCACACTGAATGTTATTTATTCGGTGATATATAAAATGTTCAATTCTACTAGGCAAATCATTTCCCTCATATCATAAATAGTTGCTCTTGGTAAGACTTAACTGAGCTGCACGTCCACTGTGTGATAAGCTGTTCCCAGAAGAATATCTAAGAGGTATTCTTTCAAGAACAACGAGGGGCATAAGGGAAAACCTACCACTGGTGGACCAGCAAACGCCATCGCGGATAAGCACAGGAAGAGAGAGGCTGGCAGCATCATCGTGGTATACGACTTGTAAACTGGCGATCAGAATGAGAAATTTGTCTGTCTGTGCGAGTATTTTAAAGACTTTCCAGCCAACCGTTTCAGTTAGTTTCAGGACGATATAAGCGAAGGGTAAAGTTGCCATAATTTAATACTATAACGTTAATGTACCAGCAAATTAACCTTCAAAGTTTTACACTTTGTTCTAAAGTTACCTTCTAAAATGACACGGCATGCAGTTAAGAATTGTGCTAATTTCACGATCTGAAGCATATGAGTCTGTGGGGACCAGCAATGCAGTTCCAATTAAGTGTTAAATGTCACAGGTAATTATTGGATGAGAAGTGTGTAAGGAAATGCTTTCGAAGTTCCCAAGGATATCGTCATTTGCAGCTGTTGAACCTGATATTCAATAACTAATTCATGGCAAGGTGTCCTAATTCCGCAAGTTATATTGCGTTCGTTTGGCAACATTTCTTAAAATTGCCACTGGGCCAGCTGTACGTCAGAACTGAAATTGCGTCTGCCATTTTCATCCTTGCTAGTGAACACCATCCAGTATTTAAATTCACTTCGCTCACGAGCCCAAAATAGGTCACGGGGGGTCTGATTGTGCTACACTGAAATTCCGGGCAATAACCTGCGCCATAGGTGACACAACACCTTAAACATCCGTTAAGATTAACATGTGGAAGAATCGTTGGTTTCTTTTTTGTTTGTTTGGGGTTTTTTGGCACTTCAACAATGTCATTAAAATTATTCTGAGCACGGGAACGCCAGAAAAATAATAAATCAATCAACAAAAATGAAACAAAACTTTAATCGAACAAGATTTATTTAGATTGCAACCGTGTGTAAATGTTGTCTTTGACCTAGACTTGACTCACGGAACGATATAAGACCAGGGTTTTCATTTCTGAATTGACCTTGGAACGACTAACCTGACAGTTGAAAGTGAGATCTGTGACATACTGAAGCTTTGCACAGTTGAAAGATATTAAACGAATAATATGCTGGTAGTATATTAATCATCGACGTATCAGCTTGAAGAGCCCTAATGATGCTGTGAATAAAATTATTTAGCTGCAAACTAAAAAAAGGCTACTTTATTTAAATAATACAAGATCATACCAGATAATACAAGCGCCTGAAATTATCATAACATGCATGCTGAAAAAATAACAGTGCTTATTATTTCCAAAAACGACGACCCAATACATGACTCAGAAATGAAATACATAGGCCTATGTTACAAATTCAGTTAAACCAAAATATTTATGTCTGTGCCCCCCTTTTAATCTGTTTTTGGCTAATTTGGTGTCTCAGTGCACGCGCTGATAAATTCTGTAACTGACGGTTTACTTTTTTTATTTTTCATTGTTTATTTTTCATTTGTTTCAGCCAACCTGCAGTCATAAATACCTATTCAACAACACGTAACGTGACCATGTATCAACATTTCATTATGCCTGCTGGGATTTGATAAAAGTTTCGTTTGTTACAATAGATTGTGACCGTGACCATCTGGTGTACCAATTATTTGTTATGCGGAAAACTCATTTCGATTTTTGGGACGATGAACTTTGCATTGATCACTTGACTAAGCAGTTTTGGTACGACTGCGCGTGTGCAAGATTTAATGGGGTCACGGGTCATTTGGATCGCGTATCGGCATCTTTGTAATCAATTGGGAATATTCAATGAGTTAGATGGGCTCGATTTAGCAGTTATTGTTTGGATATCATCAGGAAAGAGGAATTTTTCCTGCTGTATGATATCAGCAGGCCCACCATTCATGATTATGTATACTCCGATTATGAAGCTTCGGATCTGGACAACTTTAACGTGATGAATGCATCTCGTATTTCAGTTAGGGAAGGCTATCGTTAGCCAAGTTAACATTAGCAGTGAGTAGCTTGCAGTGCATGACAGAGGCCTTCATGGACGTAGTGCGTTAAATTGGGCAATATTCCATATTCATTGACTTTTTTTGTAACCCTAACAGTTCAAAAAGGGCGTCGATAATTTTGAGGGGCTAAAGATGTGAAGGGGGTTTAGTACTAATAGTAGCTAAGTTTAGGGAACTAAAAAGGGCCCCTCCTATGTACCAATTCGCAGAAAAGGCGTTTTTCCTTGATATTGTTCAGTTTGGTTTGTATGGTGGTCTCCAACCTTACCCCACACAGTTCTATGTGTATTTTAACCTGACGCTGATCGTTTAAAAAAGTGCTCAAAATCATTCCCAAATTTATCTCCAAAGACAGCGCGTTCACTTTCCTTACAATTTCAAACAATTCGCAAGAAAGTGGCCGACGAGGTAGGAATTAATTTTGCTACATATTAAGGTTTATATCCCTGAACTAAGGGTTATGAACCTTGGGATTCTTGGACATAAGATGACTAATTTTAACTGAAAAAAGCAATAAAGAAAAATTAATATTAAGTCCTAGATCGACAGTTAAACCATTTCGCAGTGTCTGTGGGCATACGATTCTACACACCCGTACCCTACCCACGCCGTCTGACTTGCATTTCCAATGGTCCTGCCAAACCGTAGTTCAGTTACACTTGTATACAACATCGCCTCTCTATAACTTTGTCTTTTATGTGTTAAGCTGCACCTTCTTCTAACCCACATTGAACTTTGATAAAGAGAAGTAAGCACAGTAAATCACCTGTCCAGTTTGACTGTCACCCAGACCCCCTGTTTCCCGTCCACCTTTTAATAAACTGTTGATCCCAAATATCACATCTCGTAGACACTAGTAAAGTCCATGCTACCATCGACTTGATATTTAGGGAACACAATATTATAAATGTCACTGTGAGCAAGAAAGCAAGAAAGAAGTCTATAGCAAAACTCTTGTGACAGCTTTCATTTGAGATTTTTTACATTGGCCTGCATTAAAATTATTTTTGAACCAAACAGTTTTTTGCCGCATAAATACACTCATGCAGAGTATTTTCAATACTTAACACATTTAACAATTAATTTTTTTTGCAGAGGAAGCCTTGGTTTAATTTAATTTGTATGCCAAACAGCATCGTAGTGGTGATAAATAACCATGCATGGCAGGTTTTGAATATAACCCTTCGGGTCATGTTCTAAAGACAATCTAAGATGTAGCCTTTTCGGATCCTTTCGCAGCAAATGGCCAATGGGCCTAAATAGAGTTTAGTGTTTAACATGTTAGATTGATAATTATTTTGGTATCTGCTATTATATGCATTGAATAACAAACATTCCCAACTACAGAGATGACTTCATAATTTATCACATGCATAACACAATACAATACACATTGTAGTCATCATCTACTCAGAGACTGCAAAGAGCAAAGAGCTTATATGAGCATTTGTGTAATAATGTTAAAAATTCACCAAAATACAAACTGCTTACTGTAGTAAAGCTTGTGAACAGGAACAGATAAACACCAGCCTCCTTTTTGAAATGTCAATAAGAATTTCTTGTTTTTAGTGTGAACAGAAAATATTTAAACAAACATTCATTTCAAAATGTTGATGGTATAACATGTGAACTACATTAAGTTATGAACATGAATAGCACGTAAACAAGTCTTAACAAACCAGTTTTGATGTATAAATTTCCTTCATTCTCTTCAAGAGTTTTCAACAGTTTTCTACATTGCCATTGTCATAATCTGCATCTGCTGTGCTTGTTGTTGTATGAATTGCTGCTACTAAAGGAAATTCAAACCTCAGATTCCTTTGTCTTCTGGCATTCTTCACCATCTTGTGTTTCCTAAATTCTTGATGCAGTTCAATCTTCCTCTCTAAAATACCAAAGGCCTCTGTATAATTGTTTCTTCTCTCTTCCTCAGTGTGGAACATGTACTTTCACCATGCTGTTTAAAAGAGCAATTTTTTATACAAAATAAATTCACATGCATTACAAAGACAAGCTACAATAACATGGGATTATAATATTATGCGACTTCATTTTTGGATTGAGAAAAATATAAATTATTTATCAAATTAACATTCAGAAAGTAAAAGAAAGTAAAATTGTTCTTTACCACTCAAAATGTACCTCTTTTTTGGTCCCAGAAAATCTCTCTAACATCAGCTTCTGCACCTCCACCCCATCTGATTTTCTTCTGCTCCTCATCCTTTATTAAGGTGGTACGAGCTCAGCATCTAACTTCATTTTCTCCAACTGCTCATGTAGTTCTTTAATTTCTTTCCGTCTACCTGTCTCTTCTGGGCTGATGCCAGATGCACCCTTCACAGTTTTAGTCAGGCTTTCAACCACTTATTCTTATCTCTGACAGTTCTTTGGCTGAGAGTCATGGCCGTCTTGAATGAGTAAGAGGTTGGAGAGCTGTGGCAACCTGCTGCCATACCTTTCATCTCTCCATGTTCCGTGTCTGTACTTGAATGGGTTTTGTAGAACAAGTTTGTGGAGTGAGCACACCTCCAGATCTTCAGTCCCTTGTGACTTTCTTCTGCAATAAAAAGCAGTACATGTAGTATGAAGGAAATGTTATTTGCCAATTCTTGCTTGAGGGTATAGGCTTTTTAGTGCTTTGCTACGTTATGCATATCTAGCCAATTTCACAGTTTTGCACACATGAACTGAAAGAAAACAATTTTTTGTACCCAAATTCATTCAGATCACGTTTTGTACACTGTAGGCTGGTCTTTAAATTCAGGCCTTGTCTTAATTTCAAAGTCTAGCCTTGGGATCTTGAGACAAAATCTAAAATTTAGGGACTAGAAATTTCAGACGCCAATTTTAATTTACATTGAACATGTATTTAGGCCAATGTACTTTTTGGTTCAGGTAAACTTATGGGAAAGCTACTTGATGGTAGTACATGTAATTAGCTGTATTCTAGTGTAAAAAGGAAAGAGTTCTAAGTATTTTTGTTGTGTGCAATGTGAATTTTAACGCTACTTTCTCTGATTCCTCCAGAGTCCCGAACAAGTAGATATTTTGCATGGGCATTAAAAGAACCAGGAAAGGAATTTTTCTTAGAATCACTTTTTGTGTATTTTTGTACTCTTCTTCCTTGTATGAAGACTGTTTGACATCATTTTTGAGATACGTGAGCTGAACGGTGTACTGTTTCGAACATTAAAAATTGCCCAAGCATTTCTGGACAAGTGAAGGCGCTTTTGCTTTGATGTAAATCACGGAAGACATGGCTCAGGTTGCATGTTTTCGTGTTCAAGTCGTGAACCCCAAATTTGCTATCTGGGAACATTTCTGTGAAAAGGATTTTCGCTGGATTATTGCCATACACTTACACAGCATTAAACTGCCAAAGAAAATAAAATCTGCCATAGCAGTGGTTAAAAAGAATCTAGAAATTTTCCGTGCACAAATCAGTGCAACATTGAGATCAAGTGCCTTGGATGACATCAAAGTTCTGCTCAATAAAATGGAAATATGAATTAGCATAAAAACTATTAAAGCATCAACACATCGGTTAAAATTGCAAAACAAAAATTTAAAATCAGGTAAATTGAAACCCAAAGATGCAATTTCAAGGGTTTTTAGTAAAATTTATAAAAATGTTTCTATTTCCTGGTTCCTT